ATGGTGATGTTGAGGAGAAGCATGAGGGTGTATGGCCGCTGCATACGGTTGTTAAAGCTGGGAGACCTAACTTTCAGAAACTGCTTTTTAATGTCCAAGTAGAAAGAGTTAGACCACATCATGCGTGGGTAAAGAGTCACGATTTGAAGCTTTGGGTTTGTTTTTGTTTGACCCAAACAAAACTCCTCTCACTCAAAGTGTTAAGGTGCGTTACACAAGGAAACTAAACATGGGTTGCAAAAGTTAAGGTGTCAACCACAACCAAGTATTACACCTAATTCATGAAAAAATGGATGCCAGTTATTGTTAGCCTGGCCTTAACCATCCGGTAACTCTGATCCAATTGTTTCAATCTGCAAAAGGAGTTAACTCCTCCCACCTGTTAAAGGAGCTATACCCGTTTCTGCAAGGTTTGAATGTTTAGCACCGCCCCCCAACTCGCTCAATGGCTTCTCATTTCCCCTACGCTCTCATAACACAGAGCCATCTAGCTCAATTTGCGATCTGACATGTATGCTAACATTAGCGCAACTTCTTGTAAGCTGTACAACAATCACTGAAGAAATGGTACTAAAGCAACGCTATTTAGTATTTATTTTGTATTTGTCAAAGTGTAATGTTATATCCAATTTTGACATTTAATGTTCTATTCCAAAAGTTCTAATGGCAATTCAATATGTAAAGTGTCGATACAATGTCTTTATACAGTACCTTGCGAAAGTATTCGGCCCCCTTGAACCTTTCAACATTTTGCCACATTTCAGGCTTCAAACATAAAGATATAAAATTTAAATTTTTTGTCATGAATCAACAACAAGTCGGACACAATCGTGAAGTGGAACGAAATGTATTGGATAATTTAAACTTTTTTAACAAATAAAAAACTGAAAAGTGGGGCGTGCAATATTATTGGGCCCCTTTACTTTCAGTGCAGCAAACTCACTCCAGAAGTTCAGTGAGGATCTTTGAATGATCCAATGTTGTCCTAAATGACTGATGATGATAAATAGAATGCACCTGTGTGTAATCAAGTCTCCGTATAAATGCACCTGCTCTTTGATAGTCTCAGGGTTCTGTTTAAAGCGCAGAGAGAACCATGAAGACAAAGGAACACACCAGGCAGGTCCGAGATACTGTTGTGGAGAAGTTTAAAGCCGGATTTGGATACAATAAGATTTACCAAGCTTTAAACATCTCAAGGAGCACTGTGCAAGCAATTATATTGAAATGGAAGGAGTATCAGACCACTGCAAATCTACCAAGACCCGGCCGTCCCTCCAAACTTTCATCTCAAACAAGGAGAAGACTGATCAGAGATGCAGCCAAGAGGCCCATGAACGCTCTGGATGAACTGTAGATAACTATTTTATTTGCAGTCATTAAATACATTACGAATTGTAAGGGCTGTCTAATATGTGTTCGAATATATATATATATTTTTAATTTTAGAATTATATTCGAATTTAGAAGTCAAAGCCCTAGTGTTAAGCAGCGCTATAGAGGCTAGAGGACGCAGGTTCTTCGCTGCTTGTTCTGTGAGTGGAGGAGAACGAGCGTCCCGCTAAGACTCTACTCAGCACTTTTCACTGCTGTAACTCATACATCGCTGCATCAATGACCTCAAGTTTTCAATTAAATTATGGATTATAATTAGATAACCAACAAGAGCTGTTAATGAAAGGGAAAATGTAGGTACCCCAGATTTAATTTTGCGAAATCCTGAAATCCTGTTTATTGGAATAATATGCGTCATGTCCATTAGCATCATATCCGTTACAGCCAAAACACCAAATTGCTCCGAGTTGTTTACGAGGCCAAACACATGAAATATCTGACCCAGTTTCTTCGTGTGGTGACGGCCGCGCCTTCTGCCACGAGCCGGAGTTAAGTCATGACAAGCAGAACCCGCGGCACAGGGCCCACAGCGTGGTTATAGAGGAGGGCTGCGGGGGTCCAGGACTAATTAGCTCAGTGCAAAGCCATAATGACCAGTATGGAGCGCGGCCCACTTAACACGTCCCCAAAAAAGGCCGGCTAATAATGCACCATCTGCCTCCATGCCAGCCACAAACCCTCCTCACGGGCAAACTTAACAATTAGACTCTTGAGACAACACGTGTGTGAATAATATTGCAATTAGAGACAAATTAATCCATTTTCTTACTCATAACAAGAGCTACTTTTCAGCTCACAGTCATTTCTTGGAACTAATGTCAAATTTAGACTAATATGACTTATTCATACAGACTTTTTAAAACTACAATATTCAGATTTTTGGACGAGCGAAATATTATTGAATGTTTTAGATGTTATTGTGCTTTAGGATGTTGTTTGGTAATGACCCAATATCACATTATTGGTCAAAATATGGGAAAATGAATTGATGTGAGAAGATTAGACATTTTTGCTCTTGTTTGATTTTCTATATAAACACACTTTTATGAGATTGACTTTATATAGTTTTTAAGGCTGCAGAGTTTTGAGTTTGTCTCAGTTTCAGATGTTGATGTGCCATGTGAGGGTTCAAAGAAAAAGGTGTGTCATGGTTCAACAAGTTGGGGGACCACTGTATTAAGATTAAGAGATCCTTTATTCGTCCCACAGCGGGGATATTTCTTTATTAAGAAGAGTTTTTCAGATTATCCAACAAAACCAATGTTAATACAAAGTGAAACATGTTATTTTGCATATTCAACTTCTCATCAATACCAAAGAGAGTTTCCATCTAAATATTCAATAATTCACATGCTCATACATATTTAAATATGTATGAGCATGTGAATTCCAAATGTAGACATATATTACTATTAACTCATTGAGTGCCAGCCCATTTCAGAACAGGTACTTCCATATTGCCAGCCGTTTCTGATGGTTTTTACTGATTTTTAAAGACCCACAGAATATTGTGTACTATGACTATCTGAAATCCGACACCAGATTCTAAAAGAATGGACTGTCTACTTTCATCAGCAAAAAGAATTTTGTTTATAGCTTTTTTTGTTCCCCTGTAATCCTCCGTCGAGTAGAGGGAAGTTTTACTGAAATCACCAGAAAGCTGAGAAAAAAGAGGCACCACATGTGCATCTAACTGTTTTCAAACCATTCAGAGAGAAATGCTGCCACCTGCTGGCTCGATAAAATATGGTCTCAAGTCATCCCCATACATATTAGATACAATAGACGTCTGGGAACGTGAAAATAGCGGAAAAGGCAATTGCGTCAATGGCACACAACGTTACTATTTACTTTGACGTATTTGTGAGTCAATGGCACACAATGAGTTAAGAAGGCCTTTAATGCAGTATTTGCATTCCACTACTGTACGTAAAGCTGGGGTATCTGACTTTTTATAACAATCACTGAACCTAGGATTATGATATAAACACGACATGTCTTTAGAAATAACTCGGAACAATGAAATTAAATCCATCCAATCCAATCTATTTCAGTTGTAAAGCCCTAAATCAAAACAGCAGTTATCTCTGAGGACTTTACAAAGTTGTTGATTCGCCAACACAGATCAGAGAACCAAACAGTTTAGAAAATATCTCTGCTTCTAGCTCCCAAAACAGTTTGTATAATATTGTTTTACAGTTAAATACTTTTAAGATGAGATAAAGCTCCATCCATCCATTTTCTTCCCCTTAATCAATTTCTGGGTCGGGGGGCTTGAAGTCAGAGCTGCACCCAGTACACAGAGTACCAGCCCCTCACTGATCCTCCTGCAGGTGGTGAGCCCACAGAAGCCGAGATCTTTCAGTGGGAGCTTCAGGCAAAGTGGGGTTAAGTGTCTTGCCCAAGGACACAACGACAGCAGTCATCAGTGGGAGTCGTGAAGTAGGTCTCGTGGTGGGCTTGAACCCACAACCTTCAGGCCCAAAGGCCACTGCTCTACCAACTGTTGCCCTGAGATAAAGACGGATAAGATAAAACTGTATTGAAGAAATGTACTAGTTACAATCACAAGACTCTTTGTTAGAATCTTGAATTTTAAAATCTAGGTGTGTGGCTTTAAGGATCTTTGCAGATGACGCTCTAGATGCAAAACCACTTAGCTGAAAATGACTAAGCGCTGAAAACACATGTGATTTCTGCTCACTCACAGATCCTGAGTGTAAATCCCCGAGCACGCGTCATAGGAACTCCGGATCGTCGACGTGGGAGGGAAAAGCCGGAGGGACTGAGTTTTATGCCCCCATTACAAGCGCTCCCTGTGGGTCTAAGTCTGAAGCTCATTACTTGTCTCCTGTAAGCAACTGTATCCACCTCCGAGAAGAGACCAGGGGAAAATTCAGTCAATATGAACATGGAATCACCCCTAAGATACTGTATATTTATCAAAGGAGAATGGTAGTTATTGTAAGGAGGTTTAGGAAAATGTCTACGAAATACTTATTATCCAGACACATTTGAAGGAAAATGTGGACTTGGATTGAAACTGTTTTTGTTTATTGATTTCATGGTGACAATAGTTTCCTGTACATTTTTGTAGCTTGTTTTGTTTCTGTACTTTTTTATTAGCTAGTTTTTATTCCTGTACTTTTTATTTTTTGTTTTAGCTTGTTTTATTCCTGTATTTTTTTTTAGCTTATTTTATGTATGTACTTGTCTGCCACACACTTCTGGGGACATTTGCACATGTATTCCAATGTGGTTTGACTGCATATGGTTAATAAAATACATCTGAAACCAAAACACAAAAAAGAAAGATGCAACCTCAATCTTTTGTGAGTTCTTAAGGTTTCTGTAAATCAAAGGAATAAAATCTAGTGCAAAAATAAACAGTTGCTTTGTGGAGCCTGTTCAACAAACTGTGGTTTTGTGAATAAAACACTTGACGAAAACAATGTTATATTATTTAAAAGCATCCAGACTCATTAAAGATGAAATCATATGGATTAGCTTAATTTCCATACATTTATTTTTGAATAAAAAATAAACGCTGAAAATTAGCTGTTATGCTAAGTAGGGCGCAAGGAAACAATGTTCATGAATTCCCATCATCCCAACTTCTCGATAGGACACCCAACTTCTCGATAGGACACCCAACTTCTCCATACGACACCTAACTCCTCCATACGACACCCAACTCCTCCATACGACACCCAACTCCTCCATACGACACCCAACTCCTCCATACGACACCCAACTCCTCCATACGACACCCAACTCCTCCATACGACACCCAACTCCTCCATACGACACCCAACTCCTCCATACGACACCCAACTCCTCCATACGACACCCAACTCCTCCATACGACACCCAACTTCTCCATACGACACCCAACTTCTCCATACGACACCCAACTTCTCCATACGACACCCAACTTCTCCATACGACACCCAACTTCTCCATACAACATCCAACTTCTCCATACGACACCCAACTTCTCCATACGACACCCAACTTCTCCATACGACACCCAACTTCTCCATACGACACCCAACTTCTCCATACGACACCCAACTTCTCCATACGACACCCAACTTCTCCATACGACACCCAACTTCTCCATACGACACCCAACTTCTCCATACGACACCCAACTTCTCCATACGACACCCAACTTCTCCATACGACACCCAACTTCTTCATACGACACCCAACTTCTCCATACGACACCCAACTTCTCCATACGACACCCAACTTCTCCATACGACACCCAACTTCTCCATACGACACCCAACTTCTCCATACGACACCCAACTTCTCATACGACACCCAACTTCTCCATACGACACCCAACTTCTCCATACGACACCCAACTTCTCATACACACCCAACTTCTCCATACGACACCCAACTTCTCCATACGACACCCAACTTCTCCATACGACACCCAACTTCTCCATACGACACCCAACTTCTCCATACGTCACCCAACTTCTTGATATGACACCCAACTTCTCCATATGTAAATATATAAATAAATGACATGAAAATGAAAAAATTGAACAGGATCCATCAAAGTTACTGCTTTGGGAATTCTAGTGATTTCAGAATTCCAGTGTTGTATAAACTGTAACTTTTCTCACATACCAACATCATACTCATTCCTTTCACTTTCTGGAGTATTTCCAGGCCCACTCTGTCAGTCCACTATTAGAACCACGTCAAATCCATCAGCGCGGAGCCTGCCCTTTCCGTTACGTACACTTCCATATAATGTCATTTATCAGCCTTTTCTCCACACGGGCCGCGAGCGACGCACAAGAGCAATGTCCCGCACTGCTCCGGCTCCTGAGCGATGGAAAATGTGGACAAACTTCAATAATCTGCTCTGACATGTGAAACTAATGGGGCCCTTAAGTGGAGGCCGAATAAATCATTAATATGGCGGATAGAGTCATACACAGAACAGAGACACACAGAGAGACACACACATAGAACAGAGAAACACACATCTACATACACACAGAACAGAGCAGAGCAGGGGAGAAGTGTTCAGATATAATGGACTGTTGTTCACATCAGAGACAGGCCATTCTCACTCACAGAGACACACACCCACACACACAGAATAGACACACAAACACAGAACAGAGACAAAAACGCACACACACAAAGAGAGAGACACATATAGAGACGGAGAGACACAGACACACACACACAGACAGACACAGAGAGACACAGACACACACACAGAGACACAGACACACAGAGACACACACACACGCAGAGACACACACAGAGACAGAGACACACAGACACACAGAATAGACACACAAACACAGAACAGAGACAAAAACGCACACACACAAAGAGAGAGACACATACAGAGACGGAGAGACACAGAGACACACACAAAGACACACACAAAGACAGACACAGACACACACACACACACAGACACACACGCAAAGAGAGACACAGACACACAGAGAGACACACACACGCAGAGACACATACAGAGACAGAGACACACAGACACAGACAAAGACACATACAGAAAAGAGACACAGACACACACGCAAAGAGACACGCACACACACACACAGAGAGAGAGACACACGCACAGAGACAGAAACACAAGCACATAGACACACACACACACACACACAGAGAGACACACACAAGGTACAACAAAACACTTTCCCGCACTGTTTTTGTTGTATATAATTAACATGTTGTATTAGGAGACTTAACATATGGATCCCATCAGCCGCTGAGAACCAGTTTGAAAGACCATGGGTTTGATAAATGGTATCGTTTGGTGTTTTTAGCCATGTCACAATCAATGTTCCCTCGTCAATAACAGACCTGAAGTAGTCTTTAGCTCCACCCACGCCAACACGTCCCTTCTGTCTAAATGCTCCTATCCTTTCACGCTAACCTGAACCTATAACGTCATGTCTCTCAGTTTGGGGAATTTCTCCAGTGAAATGATGGTAGTTACAACTGCGCCGATTTAATTGCAGCACGCAATGTTTGATGTTGACTTAATACCAGAATGTAATGTCCTACTTTGTTCACCAGGTGGCAGATTTTTCCTACTGAGACACTTTCTGTTTATCCATATTTTCACATTCTAAAACATTAAATAACAAAGCAAATAGTCTTGTGATCATGTATTTTTTTATTTTACACCCGATCATAGTCAAAATATGCCTAAAATGTAGTAAATGCCCTTTGCGCCTCATTTGTTATGAATAAACTCCCTCTTAAAGTAGTTAGAAAGCACAGAATGTGTTTTGTATACTCTTCTGTGACACACATTTGCCTCCTTAAACCAGATTTCTATCTCAGTTTGTCGTAGAAGCTGCTGTGGACCAAAAGAAAACTGTACTGAAGCCATTTCCATCTGCTCCTCGCAAAACAGCCCAAATACATAATTGAAGCAAAACATAATAAAAAACGAGACACTTTTTAGTTCTGTGCGCTACACTTTCTCCAAACATCTTCAAATTAAGCATAGTATCTTACTATATATGACTAGCAGCAGTGGCAATTAGGGCCCAAGCGATTTATCATTTTGCCAATTAAATCAGATGAATTAAATGTCTGGGGAGGCATCGGTAATGAGACGAGATTTCACACATTCGCTGATTTTCGTTGGAAGTTACTGCCTCCGCTCAGCCTCCGACTCATTTAATCTTTCATTCTCTCAGGAAATACACATATTATATACTATAGCTCAGAATCTACAGAATCCACTCATCCACGCTTCTATCGTTGGTGACTGTAAACAAGTCTGCAAAAGAAACGACTGCCAACACCAGTAGAAATCCCCCACAAGTTCACAACGTCATTAAGCCAACTTCAGCTCTGCCAAAACTCTATGCCATAAAACAAATCTAGAGAATTCAGGAGGTAGTGAGGAAATACACGATGATCATTCGACAGTAGCTCAGTTGGCAGAGCATTGGCCTTTGAGCCTGAAGGTTGTGGGTTTGAGTCCACCGTTTAGACCTTCTCCACCGGCTCCTACAGCTGCCGTTGTGTGCTTGGGCAAGATACTTTACCCCACTTTGCCAATAAGGAGCGCGGAAGTAACACCCCGCTGCATGCCTTGATGTCATATGTGTATATGACTATTCAGCAAACCGAATTTCTCCATTGATCAATTAAGTATATCTTCTTCTTCTTCTTCAGGCGACTTCAGCTCCACCAAAATGTGAATAGATATGTTCTAGTTTCTCTACTCGCAAAAGCCAGAATCCACTTGTACATTTACATAGCAGAAAAGAATCCATAAAAAATCCAAATCTGTCGGTCTCTCGTGTCGAAACAAACATATCTCAGTTTACAGAAAAACCAGAGGGATTTGTGGGTAAGGGCAGAGCTTGTGCGGTGTGTGATATCTAGAGTTGAACATGTTTAGTGGTAGTAGATGCTCACCAAACTCAAGAAAGCCTTTAAACTTGGTGGAGGTTCCTACAGCAAAAGCAACGAGGTGAGAACAAGGAAATGAAGACGAACGACGGCAACAAGTGATGGGCGTCTTTGGAAGCAAATCAAATTACTCATAAAAGGCTTTGATTTTCTGTAAAAACTGTGCTTCATCATCTGTACCACATTAGTCCTCGTAATAATTTGTCATTTACAATCATATTTGCTTATTATTGATTGACATGCATCGCTGCAGAAGCGCTTGTGCCGGTAATTAGACATCTGCCTTTTCTCTGGTAATCTCCAATATTTCAGAAAGCTTTTCATGAATCATCGTTTATCATTAACACCGAAATGCAATGACATGATACAAAGGTTCTGTATGTTTGAAAGTCAACTTTTAAATGTTTCAGACAATTCAAGAATGGATATAACCAATACATTAAAGGCTTTTCTTCCACAACTTTTCTGATGGGGTCCACTTTACACTTGTTGCAGCCTCCTGGATCTACAGCCTCAGTCCTGGACCTACAGCCTCAGTCCTGGACCTACAGCCTCAGTCCTGGACCTACAGCCTTAGTCCTGGACCTACAGCCTTAGTCCTGGACCTACAGCCTTGTGTACAGGCTATACAAAGGGTGTGGATTTGAAATTGACTGCTGATATGACATTGCTAAAAACAAAACATGAATTCTTACAGGTCATATCTGTGGAGAAGAGAGCCAAACCAATTTTAACTTGGCCGACTCAAGCAAAAAGCAGACCAATCACCAGGAAAGTTGTGTAATGCTTAGTGGGTGGCATTTTCCATCTCCAAAATAATGCAGAAAACAGATTTTAATAGTCTTCAAAGTATAAAATATGTTTTAGCTTCAATAGCCTTTTTGTTGCCTTTGTTTTCATTATGCACAATGAAGCAAAATATCTTCTGAAAAAAAAAAAAAAAAGATAAAAGGTTTTCCGAGTCACTCCAGAATGTGGGAGGGACAAAGCGCTCTGGGAGGCTTCACTGATTGGACGCCTCGGGTGACACGGTGATGATGTCATGCTGCACTGAACAACCTTGTCCGCATAGACCACACATACACGACTTAAATCTTGCATACAGTACCTGGCATTTCTCAAGAAAGACATTAAAATTAAAAATATCATGTTGCCGTTGATGGGTTTGAGATTTTTGTTCGATGCAACATTATAAAATGACCTTTTCCCATTTAAATGGGAAAGACCTATGGACATGGCCCTAATTTTACTCCAAAACTTGTAGATTGAGAGTCTGAGAGTCTGAATTTGATCTCAGTTTTGAAAATGTGTCATAGGGCAAAATGTAAACCTTTAAAATGTTATTTCCTAATGGCACTTATCCGTTTTTACAAATTAAATATTCATATGTGATAGATCTCTGTAGTGCATGTTCTGATTTTGTGTTCAATATTAATCAATGCTGATTTATGTAAGTGCATTAGCTTTGATACATTTTTAATGACAGAAATCACTTACAGTTTCTGCTGGCTTTGCACAAACATGTGCCTTAAGAAGTGGCCAGTAAGGATCTAAAAGCTATATTGTGGTGTGGTAACCTTTAATAATAATTCTCTCAGGACAAAAGTAAATTTAAGGAGTTCACATTGGGCAGAATATTGACTTTGAAGAATCCACAAAAATTGCTGTGTCTGTCTCATTTAGCCCGCTTAGTTTATTGCTCCGACAATTCCCGTTTTCACACTCTCTCACACTCACCAACTCTTCTTTACTTAATCTATTATTACCATGAGATAGTGAGCTGCAGAGTTGCACAGGCATTTTGGCACCAATTAATTTCAACTGTGATCTACTTCGTTGGTTCTATGTTTTTTCAGCAATGCAGTTTTTTTTGTAGTTTCAGATGCAAAACAATACAGGGTTATTCCAGTCCCCTATCATGTTTTGGTGTGCGTTTATAAAATATTGAGATATAGCATGTTCAAAATGTAAATTAATGATCCATGGGGAGTCATAATTGGCGTTTTTCTTCAGGTTTACTTTAACTGGACCAAGTCTGGTTCACTCAGGGACTAATGGAACCATTGTCACTTGTTTGGAGGTTGCCCATCCACAAATTAAACAATTTTTGCCCCGAGTGAACTAGAATTTACCAAGTTAAAGTGACCCAGACCAACAAGAGCCATAGATTACGACGACATGGACAAAAGCACGATATGTCTCGTTATGTCTTGATGTTGTAATTCATTCACTTTTTAGAGTCGCCACAAGTTCATCGGCTCCTTAGAACATGTATTAATGTTAGGGTCAGTAGGTGGCGCTATCATCCGGACAAGGTTGCTCAGCTCTTTATGGCATAGATCACAGACCATTTGCAATGTTGGAATTAGATCGAGATGAAAATGACGTAGATGACTATTGGTTGATTTTGATGGACTATGTTGCCGGGCGGATTTGGGGGGTGTTCGGACCGCCCCAAAAAATGGCGGCTCTTACCACAACAGAAATCCGGACTCGTTTGGACGGTCTCCTGTTCTCGGGAGTCATAGGGACCTCCAAGGTGTTGTTTTTCTTTACAGCGACATAAGACAAACAGCATTAACAAGAACCTAGGTATAATTTTCAAAACTGAGTTCCCTCTGCAATGCCGGGGGAAATATGAATAATTTGATGCAGAAAAGTGCTAGAGCAGAAAAGAGGGTTTTCTTTTAAGCTTTGCCGGGAGCTGAGACAAAGTAGGGAAGGATTTAAAATAGAGGTCACATCCAAAATGATGTTCATGTCTGGAGAAGTGTAGGGGATACAACTGTATGTAGGACAAAGTAAGTATTGTTAACTAAGCCGCTCTCTTGAGTTATGGTTAATTACCTAAAATAAAAGAGCCCAACTATTTCTGTCTATTTTTTTCAATTCCTACAGGTCATTGCATATGAGAGCAATAATAAGAACAACACATATCCAGAAGAGAGGATTCTGCAAAGAGACAACGTTTTTTGTGTGGAAAGTTGGGAAAGCTTTTGGCCTGCGTCTTACACGTAGCTTGGGCCTTTACAGTATATGAAGTACGAGAGGGTGTCATGGTGTGTACTTAATTCAAGTTGTGTGTTTTGTTTTGATATATATTCGTTCTCTAGTTAAAGTTTATATACCTCCCATATACCTTTAAGTTTTACTTCCTGCCCTTGACTTTTGTTTGCGTTGGACATTGATCCTCTCCAGAGGCAGGAACAACCCACAGGCCAGAAACTTTATAAAGCTCTCCATTGTGAGATCAATAAAGTATATCTCATCTTAATATTCAATGCCAGGAAGTAAAACTCAAATTTACCAAGAGAACAAATAAATATCAAAATAAAACCAAGTAAATTTAAAAAAGTACACTCCATGACAGAGGATATGTATTTCTTTGTGATTGGTTGATGCCCTTTTTCAGTAGGTTTGTGATGTCACGTCTCACCTCTAAAGCCTCTGCTTTTGGACTGGCACAAAACAGGTTCTTCAAAGCCATTCCTGAATTATCGGTTGGACCTGTAAGACACACGGCAAAGACACAAAACTAAATATTAAAAATTATATTGTATGCTCTATTTGTGTTAGTTTTGGCCACTTAAACCTCTTGAGAATGCTGCTTTGGCATAGGATGGAACATAATGGGGCATAAAATCTAAGTGTATATGGATACAGATATTATCGTGGTGGATAGGAAGCTTTATATAACGTAATTGGCGAGAATATTAAAGGCAGACAACAGCTCTGTCCTTGTCATCACAGTCTAAGGATTTTTCATAGCGACAGAGTTTGAGAAAATGGACAGGGGATGTGATAGAACCATGGATCTATGATAATAACTGAATAGGGTATTACTATCTTAAAGCTGTCCCACCTATGGGCACAGGGGGCGCCCATGGTACTGCAGACTAAATTCACGTGGGCTACCCAGAAAAAACTCCCATAGATTTCAATGTAAACTAAAACTGCTCGACCTCAGCTGACAGAGAACCTACAGCTTTCATAAAGATTGGGCTTTGTGGGGATTTTAATGTCCCTGTTCATCCTGAACTTTTTTTCTTCTTAAATCCTTTAAATCCACACTTTTCTGCCACAAACTCTGCTCGTTTCCTTCCCGCTCTTGCTCCGCTCTTGCTCCGCTCTACCACTACTCTGATCAGCAGCTCTGATTGGTCAAAGCGCAGCCGAGCCCCTCTGTGCACGTGCATGAGAGCCAGACTATGCCCAAATATTGGCGAGTTCCGCTAATCTTTCAGTCTCCGTGAAGTCCCATGCACTGCTGAGCACAAGCCATTCATTTGAATAGGGCGCCATCTTGGATCACCGGGGCTTGGATAGAACCATTGTTTCAGATTTTAGCATGGATGGAGCAAAAAACAACACTAGGTCTGATTGCGATGATGCAACAATGCCAAAAACATAGTCAAAAAAATGGTCAACATGATTTTTATTTGTGCTTTGATTCTTTATTCAGAATGTTTCAAAGCCTGGTCTGTAACTTGTATTTTCAATTAGAATTGCAGCAAAACATCATGAATACAGCCTGTGTTCTATTCTAAACATACATGCACTTTATTCTAACAGATTTCACATGAACCATGGTCCACAGTTATAAAACGCATCCAAAGTGTGTTACATCAGAACTCTGAATAACACTCTGTGATATTCCGTAATGAATTGAAAGCTTTGACCTCTTTGACCATTGTCCAAAGTAAATGTTTGTGATGAGAGCCGCTTTGAAGTAGATAGAGCTAATAGTGTTATGCAACTACAATCTCCTGCTCTCGGAGAATAGAGGAAATGAAAGCCTCCATTGGTACAATCCATCGCAGTTTGACAATCAGTCCTTACAAAGCTAATCACAATACGCTTCATATGTGAACGTTATGTAATTGGCTAAAACTTATACCGCATTATACTGTATATTATGTTATTTTCATCTTTCACTTTGTTGATGTAGTTACACTTGGTTGATGTAGTCTGCCGATGCTTGTATACCAACTCCAATCCTGGCTCATTTCAACCAGTGATACGGACAATGATATACACTAACAAAACATAGGTACATTCATGGGCCATTTATGTAATTACCAGTATTAAATTTGAGCTTTGACAAGTTGGATTGTGAAGTCCTAAAAACCTGCTGAAGTAAGTAAGTAATCTTTATTTATATACCGCCTTTCACTGACCAGAGTCACAAAGCGGTTTACAATTGTTAATTCTTTTTGGGCATTTGTCTCTCACTCCACACAGAGATGGGAGCAGGGTCGCTGAACAGGAGGCGCATGCCAGACCTATTGTACATATTTTTAGTGGTAGGGGAAACCGGAGTACCCGGAGGAAACCTACACAGACACGGGGCGAACATGCAAACTCCACTCAGAAAGGCCCTGGTCCGACCAGGATTCGAACTCAGGACCTTCTTGCTGAGAGGCAAGAGTGCTATCCACTCAGCCACCGTGCCGCCCAAGTGACATTCTGATCACATGATGAGAGATTGTCCCATTATTCAGGGAGGAAAAGGTAGGAGGAGGGTTGCGGCACGAGCTGAAGCAGGAGGCACTGTTGGATAGGGCCAGGTGAAGGCTGATTAACAGAGGCACGGATATGGTACGAGGATTGTAGTCAAGCAGGGGGGAGTGGGGTGTCTAGGGGGTGTTAGTACAGCCTGAATCCCGATCTTTATGGACCAATGGCTCTATGTGTTTTTCATCATTGCATTATCTGTGCTCGAACTGTTTGATTCTCTGATCTGTTGTTGGTGGATCGACAACTTTGTACAGTCCCCCCCGAGACGACTGTTGTTGTGATTTAGGGCTATACAAAAATACATTGAACTGAATTGCTGTAACTTCTGCAAAATACAACAAAATGTTCGGTCATTTATCCACATTTATGGACATTGATCATCTGCCCCCTATGGACCAATGGCTCTGAGTGTTTGTCATTGCACTTCCTGTATTTGATTCTCTGATCTATGTTGGCGAATCGACAGCTTTGTAACGTCCTCCAAGATATCTACTGTTTGTGATTTAGAAGCTATACAAAAACATTTTATTCATTTTTGTTTCTTTTTCTTAAATCAAGGACCTACTATTCATTTTGATACTGAATTGACCAAACAGAGACTTCAAAGCACTACTGCACTTTCTTGTATTTTTTTTCATTCATGCAGATCTATGTAGCACAACAGCAAATTTCCCTTGGGACAACAAAGTTTATCTGATCTTATCTTACATAGAATTGAAATTGAATTGATCCAAATCTCCTAAAAAAGGTTGATTTTGGCTGTGGCCTTCTTCTTCCGTATAGTCCTTAGTCTCGTCTTACCGAGAGCCACATGGATCCCAGCGAACTCCTGCCAGTTTAGCTCGTGCTTTCGACAGTGGTCAGTGTCAAACCTGGCAGCGAGCGGTGGACAGATTGTGTTTTCTCTGTGCCAACAAGTGGACGACTCAACACTTCCTCTGACACCGCAGGGAAAGAGCCGGGTAAAGCTACTGCTGCTCGGAGTCTGAACAAAGGCCTTCAGAGCCACTTCGGTCCACAGCGGAAAGGTGTGAAAACAGTAATCCAAACTTGTACAATTTTTGGCACTGATTTTGAAATTATAACAATAGCCACGTGTCTGGTTCAGGCCAGGGTTAAGAGCTGTAGTCCAAAGTTGACAGAATGACAAGCCTTCTCCGTGTTTCCCGCAGATTGTGCAGAGACTTTGGCGCCGCAGACAATCACAGTTTCATTTCAGAGAATTGCTGGAGCGTAAATCAATCTTCAAATGATTACTTTTTTGACAATGTAGTGTATTTCAGGGATGCATCGCTTCAGCCCCTTTACGTCTGATACAGATACAAGTGAAGAGAGTGAAAGAAAGGCAATTTTCATCTCAAATCAGGACCGACTTATTAGAAAATGGGTCCAGTTGTGTAAAAATTGTATCCATAAATTGTATTCTTATTTGGCAGTTTTTTTTTGACTACCTATTATTACTAGCCTAAGGTATGGAGTTGGTTCATTGAGCTCCGTTAACAGGTGAGAGAGGTTAACTCCTTTTGCAGATTGAAACGATTGGATCTGAGTTTACCGTGACCTATGTACTGTGCCCTAGTGTGTTAGCATTTAGCCTAGCCTTCTCCTTTGCCAGTTTTGGAGCCCGTGGGTAGTAGCGCCAAATTTTTTTTTCCAGTGATTACATTTGCTAAACATTCCTCTTGCTCCCGCTTCAATTTCTTGATAGAACCAGACCAGATTACTTTACTATTGCATTTTTCGCCATTACCAAACAACAAACTGCCCGTTCGACACAAACTCTTGACGTCACCCACATCTGACTACAACACCCGCCTCCCGCGCTCTCTGAATGGTCGGTCGAAATTTAACCGATTGCAATCTCTAACATAGGGACCAGACCCAGACGTTACATGCAGTGAAATGATGAATGAACGGAGTGTATGGATGGCTAAGGCCAGGCTATATTATTACTACCAACCACTATTTTCCACCATCACGGTCTATAGACTCCAGGGGGAATATTGACATTTCACGTCCTCCCTCTGCATCGCTCATCATTCAGTGTCTAAAAATGGCTATTTTTTGCAGATTAAAAAAATATATAATTTATGCTTCCAATGTAGTCTATGGTCTTCACTCGACTCTCACCAGGTTATTGCAGAACTATAATAATCTTCAGGATAATATGCAGAATTCCTCATTATTATATACAGTGTTGTATCAACTCACAGTGATAATACTTGGGATGTGAGGAAACGACAATATTACAAAGCAGAGGAAAGTACATCACCGCAAAGATATTCATAGTTTTCATAGTCCAACTTTCCGTGAATCAGTTTTGATAAATTGCCACAAGACAAAACCAGACTTCAGCCTAGTGTCTGATAGATCGAGAGCGTTAATAGAAGTCTTACTTGTGGGAAGATCCGTGGGCCTCTCCACCACTGACGATCTCTTTAATGCAGGTTTGAGAGGCTTCTGTGGGTTGCTGCGAGTGGGACTGAAGGACGACTCTTCAGTGGAGATCTGGAACGATAAACCAGAATATGTTCACAAAACTTGTACAATGAAAGGAAGTCCAGTCGAAAAGGAATAAGTTTACTCCAATGTAAGGGGTTCATTTTAAATTACATCAAAATCTGTGTCCTCAGACAAAAGGTCAGCATGAATCATGTTTGGCTCTACAGCTCAAAATGTTAATACTGATTTATTCTTTATTATAAAAGCATGGACATGATGGTTACACTGGATAATCAGTTTGAGAATCACAGCTGCACATGTCAAAAGACACAATCAAACAGCAGAAAAAGCTCCCAGTTCCCTCTGTGAAATTCCAGGATGTCTTTCCTAAACAATCTAAAGCAGCAGTTTAGGCACATCAGGCACGGTTGCATTGTAGTAACTTTAAAAAAAAAAAGAAAGCGCTAAAACTACATGAACGGACTCTGAGGAGCACAGGGACTGGCCTCCTGCTGGTGCCAAGAGTCAGGACAAACATGGAGAGGCAGCTTTTCAGATTTATGCAGCTAAAATATGGAGCAGTCTTACTGCAAATGAGAGACAGGCTTCTACTCTGACATGTTCAAATCCAGGTTAAAACAGTTAAATGAATCTGTGCTTGCAACTGAAGTATTGCATCTTTTTTAAATGTACTGTGATTATTCAAAATTTTTATGTTAAATCTCTTGTTGTGTTAAGCATTTTGAATTGCCTTGTGTACGTAAGGAAAGGCAAAGAAAAGCCATTTTATTTATATTGCATAGTACTAAGAGTCTCTTTAATTGCCAAGGAGTTCTGAGGCTGTATGCGAGTCCTCATGAAAAGTAAGTTCAGGCGGTTTGAAAAGGGCCAACATTTTTGGTTTCATCCATTGCGATTATGTCAGACGATATATGGAATTGTTTAGAAAAAAATTGCGTTGATCCATTTAGTCTAGTTTAGCTCAAAGCTGATCACAAAAATCACAATTCCCCATTAACGCTGCCCGGCCTTATTCACAAGAGCAGAGAGTAACAGAACCCTTATTGTAATCACCATTTTTACAGTTTCAGACAAAGCTAAAGACAGAGCTCCAAACAAAAGTGACTAGCATTATTATCATGCTAACACCGTTAAGGGGAAACCCCAAAGCACAAAACCAGTGACATTTGTTTATTGTTTTGGTTCCACTCCACACATCGGCGAATCAATGCCTGAAGCCTCTGATTTCAAATGCACATTTTAAGAAGCCTATTGACGCCAACCTTGAATCACTCTGCTCATGTCCTCCATCTTGTATTTTCACATGTGGTATTAACAAATCAAGCCGTAGTAACGAGCTGCCCGACCTTCTGCTGCCGGGTTTTCTGAATACGCAGATCAACAATGACTTTGGAAGGAATTTGATTGGATCACATTGGATTTCTGGAAACTGATATAAATGAATCAGACTGGGGAATAGATTTTGATGCCAGAATATCAAGAAACCCTTTAATTGTTCCGCAGTGAGGAAAGTGGGGTTACAGAAGAGTAGGAATGAGCAATACGCAGCATGAAGATAAACAATAACGCTATACCAAAACAGATAAATAACATAGCATCAAACAAAATAATTGCACAGGTTTGGTCACGTGGCTTCCTATTGCACATGTTTGGCCACGTGGCTTCCTATTGCACATGTTTGGCCACGTGGCTTCCTATTGCACATGTTTGGTCACGTGGCTTCCTATTGCACATGTTTGGTCACGTGGCTTCATATTGCACATGTTTGGTCACGTGGCTTCATATTGCACATGTATTGCGCATGTGGCTTCAAATTGCACATGTATGGTCACGGGGCTTCATTTTGCACATGTATGGTCAAATGGTTTTGTATTGCACATTCTGACATTTGTTCAAGATATTGCACAGATGTGAGGTTAGGTTGACAGTGTTTGTTAATCCTCATTGTTCGTTGTACAGTCTGACAGAAAGGAAAGACCTAAGACAGGGTGTAGATTTTGATGCCAATTGATGACCACTCATGGGTTGTTTACAAATGATAGATGAATAGAAACATGGGCCTTTTGCGTTTTCTTCAAATTCAGGTACATTTCTTTTCCTTCCCCTTTTCAAAACAGGATTAATGTTTTGCTTCTCATTTCAAATCGAGCTGCGGTAACTTTATTTTTGGAAATTTGAAGATTGAGTCTCTTCCCAAATAACATCTTGTAAAAGCCCCACTTTGTGAGAAGGAATAAATTGTTGCTTCTTTTGGCAGTTTGCTTTTTCAGAAACTTTCTTTTTTGTCTGTTTAAGAATTTGATTTGATTTTTTAAGATGAGTACCTGTCTTCACCCCTCAGAGCTGAAGATTTCAGTGCAGAACAGGAGCAATACAACGAGGACTCATTATTGCACATATAGTTTAAACATGGATGAAATATATATCCTGTATAAATGCCAAAGGCGGGGGTATGTAGCTCCTGCTGGTGCCAGAGTCAGGACTAAACATGGGGAGGCAGCATTTCAGATGTATGCAGCTAAAATCTGGAACCGTCTTTCTGAAAATGTGAGACAGGCTTCTTCTTCAGGCAATGTTAAAATCCAGGTCAAAAACAGTTTTGTTTAACTCTGCAAACAACTGAAGAACTGTATCTTCACTCTTTTAAATGTGATCATTAATGTTTCAATCTAGTTTGGTTCAGCACTTTGAGTTGCCTTGTGAATGATCTATATGTGCTATACAAATAAACTGTCCTTGCCTATACACATGCCCTTTTGAATGCACTGGAAACGGCAGGAAGTCCTGAGTAGCTCTGAAACAGTTGTTTTGTGTGTTACATTTTTTATTTATCTTACTTTTTTCTACCTGAGATGTTGCTGCAGTACAGCGTTCATGGTTTAACACTGGTCCAGACCAGAGATGAGAAGATTCATGGTCCAAGTGGACCAAGTGGAATCAGGTGAAAATCCACTGGAGGAATGTTTTGAAAAATGCTAATAAAAGCATTTAGCAGTTTACTTTGGACTAGAGCAGAGAAAATGGTCCGAACCAAGCGGCTGCTCCACCTCTGCTGCTGTGACCTGAAGTGCTGTTGCGTATTATTACTATTGTTAGCTTTTTAGAATAATCAATTTATTTGTTTTTATGTATCTATGTACAGTATGCATGAATCTATGTATCCATGTATCTACTGTATCTATCTATGTACAGTATCTATCTATGTATCTCTATGTACAGTGGGGCAAAAAAGTATTTAGTCAGCCACCGATTGTGCAAGTTCTCCCACTTAAAATAATGACAGAGGTCTGTAATTTCATCATAGGTACACTTCAACTGTGAGAGACAGAATGTGAAAAAAAAAAAAATCAAGGAATTCACATTGTAGGATTTTTAAAGAATGTATTTGTAAATTATGGTGGAAAATAAGTATTTGCTCAATAACAGAAATTCAACTCAATGGAAGGAGGTTTTGGCTCAAAATCTCACGATACATGGCCCCATTCATTCTTTCCTTAACACGGATCAGTCGTCCTGTCCCCTTAGCAGAAAAACAGCCCCAAAGCATGACGTTTCCACCCCCATGCTTCACAGTAGGTATGGTATTCTTGGGATGCAACTCAGTATTCTTCTTCCTCCAAACACGACGAGTTGAGTTTATACCAAACAGTTCTACTTTGGTTTCATCTGACCACATGACATTCTCCCAATCCTCTGCTGTAGCATCCATGTGCTCTCTGGCAAACTTCAGACGGGCCTGAACATGCACTGGCTTCAGCAGGGGGACACGTCTGGCACTGCAGGATTTGATTCCCTGTCGTCGTAGTGTGTTACTGATGGTAACCTTTGTTACTTTGGTCCCAGCTCTCTGCAGGTCATTCACCAGGTCCCCCCGTGTGGTTCTGGGATTTTTGATCACCGTTCTCATGATCATTTTGACCCCACGGGATGAGATCTTGCGTGGAGCCCCAGATCGAGGGAGATTATCAGTGGTTGAAATGTCGTTTTGGGCTACATTTGGGCTATCTTTTATACAGATAATGAGTTCAAACAGGTGCCATTACTACAGGTAACAGGTGGAGGACAGAAGAGCTTCTTAAAGAAGAAGTTACAGGTCTGTGAGAGCCAGAGATCTTCCTTGTTTGAAATGACCAAATACTTATTTTCCACCATAATTTACAAATAAATTCTTTAAAAATCCTACAATGTGAATTCCTGGATTTTTTTTTCACAGTTGAAGTGTACCTATGATGAAAATTACAGACCTCTGTCAATATTTTAAGTGGGAGAACTTGCACAATCGGTGGCTGACTAAATACTTTTTTGCCCCACTGTATGTATCTATCTATGTATCTATCTCCAGAGCCAGTGTGTACAGCTACAGTCTGTGTTACTGGACATAGTGGATGTGGCACCTGAAAGCGGACTTCCTGGCTGGCGCGGTGGCTGCAGTCGTCACTGTTGTGGTTGGAGCCCACAGAGAGCCTCTTCTTCTCCTGGTGTGAGCGCTCCCTGATGAACTCCATGCGTCTGAGGCGACCGAGCTGCAGCGACAGCAGCGTCTGCAGCTGTGCGCGCTCGATGGACCCCAGCAGGATCATCGACTCTGAGGGAACACAGGCCGTGATGAGGAGGAAGAAGAGGAAGAAGCGGGAAAGTTTCTAAGTGAAGTACTGAGACAAAGAGCACAGGTTCAAAACAGACTGGTGAGGTTTAAAAATAACATGAGAGTGGGGTACACAACTTTAAAACCACAATAGTAGAAAGTAGTAGTAGTATTTTTTATTTATATAGCGCCTTTCTCAGACTAGAGTCACAAAGCGCTTTACAATTGTTATTTTTGGGCATTTGTCTCTCACTTTCACATTGTACATGTTCTTAGTGGTGGGGGAAACCGGGGTACCCGGAGGAAACCTACAGACACACGGGTAGAACATATGCAAACTCCACTCAGAAAGGCCCTCAGAAAGGGAATCGAACCCAGGACCTTCTTGCTGAGAAGCGAAAGTGCTATCCACTCAGCCACCGTGCCCCCCACAAATATAGTAATGGAGTAACTCTCACACAGTGGCGCTTTCATTTTCACATGCATTTTTGGCCTCTGTCCCAGTTTCGGACAGAAAAGGGAAATTAGCTTCAAGCCCAAAATATTGAATAGTTACTCAGGGCTTTCTTTCAAGTATACAAAACATGTTTTTCGAAAGCACAAGATCGCTAATTCAAGTGGTTTCCTCCGCAGAGTGGCTGAGTTCTCCCTAGGAGATAAGGTGAGGAGCTAAGTCAGATGAGAGGAGCTCGGAGTAGAGCCCCTGCTTCACCAGGTTAAGAGGAGCCAGTTGAGGTGACTGGCACCTGAGCTGGACTGGGAACATCTGATTCCCTCGTATGACTTGGAGGAAGTTAGCCTGGCCATAGCCATCTATACTCTCCGCTCAATCATCATTTCACTGCATGTAACGTCTGGTTCTGGTCCCTGTGTTAGCGATTACAATCGGTTGTATTTTGACCGGCTACTCAGAGAGCGCGGAAGGCGGGTGTTGTAGGTCGGTGCCGGTGACGTCAAGAGTTTGCGCCAAACGGGCAGGGTGTAGTTTGGCAATGGCGAAGAATGCAATAGTAAAGTAATCCAGTCTGGTTCTATCAAGAAATTGAAGCACGAGCAAGAGGAATGTTTAGCAAATGTAAACACAGGTCAAGATTGTGACGCTACTCCCCACGGGCTCCGTTAGCAGGAGATGGCTAGGCTAAATGCTAACAACACACTCGGGCGCACTACATACATCACAGTAAACTCAGATCCAATCGTTTCAATCTGCAAAAGGAGTTAACCCCTCCCACCTGTTCACGGAGCTCAATGGAGCAACTCCAGACCTTAGTATGAATTGTAATTTGTACTATGGTGTGGAACAACCAGGCTAGGAGGAAGTGTGTGTGGATGAGAAGTTTCTGCTCAGACTGCTGCCCCCGCAATCCCGCATAAAAGTAGAAGAAAATTAATGGATGGATGATTGAAAGATGTGAAAGAGGAGTATCCACACATTTTAGTATGTAATATAAATCATCTGTTTTTATTGGGTACTATTACTTAATACATATATAGAATAATGCATATAAAGAAATGCAGAAGAGCCCACATTGTTTATACTGAGCTCAGAATACGAGTTTTTGTGATGGATCTTTCAAGGGACAAAAGGTTGTGGGGAAAAAGCTCGACCTCCCCAGCCTGAAAGTCACATGTCAGTGTAATATTGACACATGAAATGAACAACTTCCCACAGACATAACCATTACAGGCCCAGACTTAAAGCAGATTCCAGACACAATACAGAATATGAACTATACAAGGATTATCCAGAGTCTTTGTTTTGTCGTTCCTCATTCAAACTGATTCCCTAAGGATGTATTCAAATCCACATTAGGTCCGTGTCAGTGTTGCATAAGCCGTGTGCGTTATAAACATGCATCAGTGGACGGCGTGTGTGTATCGGTGCAGTTTGCGTAAAGTAATTGCCTTTGTGACAGTACGTGCTGATTATGTATTTGGCTAAATGCCGCAGCTAATTGTTCCCGCGCCATTGCATAAGAGAGACGGCGATGGAATACCAAACCTGCGGAGAGAGAGGCCGTCAGCACCGGAGCAAACGGGAAAGTTCCTTAAGCGGTCTTTAATGAGATGACCACAGGGACGCGAGGCTGTGTTTGGGTACAGGCCGGGAGGGACATGTGTGCGATGTCCACACCAATCCTGACATTCTCATCAAGTCAAATTAAACTCAAAGTGGACCCAAAACCGTCCATGTTGGCAGCGTTTTAAATATCAAAGTAATGAAAGAAGTATATGAGACAATACTGAGCCAAACAAACAAGCTCTATGCAACTTTTCGCCTGGATTTCTTTTTGACATGTTATATCATTATGACTTGTGTTTTTATGGCTCTATACGCTCACTGTGCAGCGCTTTGTAAACAGTTTTTGAAAAGTGCTAGACAAAATTTTATATGATTATTTTGATGTTGAAAAAGTAGATATTTTTGCATAATTGACCTTGACCTTGTAGTGACCCGGTGGTTAGTATTGTTATGGGAGATCTCTGGGAACATCAGATGCTGTGGCTGTAAATTGCCAAACAGCATCGAGACCTTTGGCAAGACACTTCACCCACATTTCCTGGGTCAATAGTATGCATTGCTGTTTGGGCTATTAAAATAGAGATAGAGCTTTTATTCTTGTTTTTTGATGCTAGAGTTAGAGATTGTTTTATTTGAATTAGTACAGCTATTGTTCACTTTTCATGTGCAGTCTGCTCCTCATTCCTACTGTTTTATAACTTTTGATGCAACACTGAAATTTCCCTGCTGTGGGAGGAATAAAAGTATCTACCTTATCTATAAATGATGACGCATTTTTGTCATTTGTTATTATAGAATGTGAAATAATGTCTTAAGTAGACCATATATAGCAACAGATGCATCAAGTATAAACACAATACTATTGACATGTAACTCCCTATGCAACCACCAGAGGGAGGAGTTGAATTTGTCTTTTGCCAAATTCTGTAAAATGACCATCAGCAAATGCATACATGTAAGATTCTAGGTAAAGCCATTTAAATGAGGCTCCAGGAAAATGACATGGAGTACTGTATCTATAATAGAACTCATTGCATTCAGCATTGATTAGAGTGAAATGGATGTGTTCAGCCTGTGACGTTTTGATGTAAATGATTTAAAACAGGGATAGTACCAGCGGACTCGACCAGGGCCAGGGTCTTGAGCTGCCCGGTGAGCAGGACGTTGTGCAGGTCTCTGTAGGTGCAGTTCAGAGTGATGTAGCGCACGTCTCGCACCATGATGTCCTCCACACGGATGTTGTACTTTCTGTGAAAACAAGAGACAAATGATGGACGTGAAAGAAATGAAAACAAGGTAGTTTATCCATTCGAGCTTCACACCATTACAGTTCACTGTAAAAAGTGATGAAAAACAGATTACGAAGTATAAAAACTTCTCTGGGTCATTGAAAGAGAAGCCTCCACCTTGACTCCCGCTGCCCGGTCAAACACACGTGACCTGCAGCTCCAGAGAGGACACAGAGCGGTACATGGCTGAACTGGACACAACACTCTCTCAAGGTTTGCATTTCCTGTCCTCTCTTGGCTCGCAGCTGCAGTTCTGTGCCAATGTCCCGGACCCACCCTCCCCTCCATCCTCAACAACTCAATACTCCGACCTCTCCACAAACACAAAGTCAATTCCATCAAAGAGCCCCACCTCCCTCTCCTTTCTTTTCTTTTCCTTTACTTTACTTTACTTTACTTTAATTTCCGTGCTCGTGGTGAATTTACCCCAGAGTTTGATGGATGACATCAGGAGTAGATCATCAGGTGGAAGCAAAAATGTGTTCCATAATAAAGATGCCATAAGTTAGATTTACCAACGAAACTTTAGACCAGGGGAAGTCCAACTAATTTTGGTCAGAGGCTGAATGACAAAAATGATAGGAGCTAGTCAGCGGTTGAAAGAATAGAAATGATTTTCTTTTGTTATATATATTTTTTTACATTATGACTATATTTTGATATTTTAATGAAGCTACTTAAAATTGGTTTGCGAGCCGGATTTGACAAATAAATGATAACAATTTTGGATGCAACTTGAGCGAAATGAGATTAACACATTTGGCGCCACCTGCATGTGATAGCCAGATTCTGTCAGTCCTCTGGGAACACCCAGGGCAGCTATGGCTACAGTAGTAGTTAATCACCACTGTGTGTACGGAGCGAATGAAAAATGACGTGAAGAGTCTTGTGTCTCCATAAAAATACTTTAGTTAAAGTACTGCCTTAATGTAAACTTGTAAAAGTATAAACCAAACAAGCCTACATCCAGACTACATCTATTGTTTGAGCCCAGTGCACTGTATAGAAATCAGAAGAACTGACTTTGTATGCATGCCTTAGATATATTTTTACTTTCTTAACTTGTTTGCACCATGAGCCAAAGCAGATTCCTAGTTTGCAACTTCCTGCTACTTAAAATGGCAATAACAAAATTCCGATTCTAAATAATAGTAATAATATAATAATATAATCCATATGAAAAGTTGGACGAGGAAAAGGGTTCCTTTGACAGTTGCCATGAGTATGATCCATGCTCCCACCACTCGATCCAAAGTTAATATACTCTTGAGAATGTTGATGATTTTGCAGAAGGCAGATATTAGCATGTAAATAACGTCAGCGTTTGTTGTCGTCAGCACTTTTCAACTCAGAGGCCAGGAGGGTCGATGCAAATGGAAGAGCAAGATGGATACATTTGATGAATCACAAAGGAGAAAACCATGAATCTTGTAGGTCTATTAGTCACGAGGCCAAAGTCTACACACAAAGCTAAATTTGGCCGTGATAATGATTCATTAGCACGTTCAAAATTGTGTAAACAGCCGTATTCGGTTTGATTGTTGGCGAAAAAACACATCGTTATCCATCGTAAACCCTGCCCACTGAGCATTCCTCATAATACACTTTCATATTAATTTCCTTTTCATCAACGGCAGCAATGAGCCACCTCCCGTTAGCGAGAGCATTAAACAGTTATTTGAAGCTGCGGGTAAAAGGTTAATTTTCTACTTTGTTCCTGATGCATAAATGGAAGCGATTTTTCTACTGTGCTTTCATTCGTGCCGGGATCAGAGAGAATAAGGTAATGCCTGTTTCTGAACTGGCCACAACCGCTGCCAGTGCTAATTTCCCCCAGGATATCGGAGACCCTGATAAAATCTGATTGGTTCTCCTTTTAATTGAGCCTCTCCTCCCCAAGGCCAAGAATACATCTGATCACAGCGAGCGATCGGGGCCAACGCCAAGGATTATAGATTCACAGCCAAGATAGACTCGTGTACTTAGAAATGCATCCGTACATATCCTGCGTATATTAATGTCTCTGATTGTGGTTGGACAAGGTGCGGCGGGTCGAATACAGGCTGGTAATGAAGTGTGACAGGAGCAGTTTTGGTTTTGGGTTGGCGCCAACGAGTCCAGAGCGAGTTAGTAACTGAGAAATGTAGCCATGAGAGATTCCAACTTTGGTAAAGAGAACCAATTTTTGAGAATATTTTGTTTGGACACACTATTTTTAATCAGTTGCATATACATACAGTACAATACATATATTAGCTTTTATGTACCATTTATATCATTGACAGAGGGACACGCAGCTGTCGGGTTAGCCACTGGAATGACCTGTGCTGGAAATCAAGAGCAACTCGAAAGAAAACCAGCCTTTATCAGGTCTCAACACAAACAGACACACACTCAGACGCCCATATGAACTGCCTTTGAGGACAATGTTGTTGCTGTCTTTGCTTTGGTCTGATATCACGACCGAGCGCTGTGGAGAAGTCACTGCTCTCACCTGCACTGGGATCAGAACAAGAGAAACAGGTTTTAAGGCTTCTCCCACTGGGGCGAGGCTGAAGGTGCAAGACCTGCTTCCACAGAAGAGAGAATTTTCCTGCTCTTGGCGCTGTGAGGTATTTCAGGTATAATACAACCAAAATATGTTTTTTATTGATGTTTTTGGTGATTCACAGACTCACAATCCTTTACTGGTTCTGTCTAAGACTTCCACGTTAACCCCATATTCTGAGACTGCTTGAAGTTCAAATTACTCCCTTTGCGATCTACCGTTTTTGTGACGTAAATAATAAAGTCCTCTGACCCTCCGTCTTCATCAAGGAAAGAAAAGAAGTAACAAAAAGTACCAACATTACCAAGATTAAGCAAACTTTCAACAATTCTAGTTTTACTTTGAAACTAAATAATTGTCCCAAGGTGGTATTGGTGGGACAAATCCATCCCTCTCCTGTTTTTCAATAAATCCAATAAATGTTTTATTTGCCCCGGAGAAAATATAATGAACTGAACTGATGCCACAGGAACCTACTTGGTCTTAAGTTTATATTGAGTTTAGGAAGCGATCGTTTCTTTGGAAGGATTGGAATAAAATGTTAATAACTCACTATAACACTATGAGATTGAAGAATGTATGAATTGTCACCATTATAATTTCTAATACAAAAACAGTCATTCATGCGTAAAACATATAGGCCCCTCTTCTCCATCTCAAGTATGAAATAAATCAATGATATCACATGAAGCCAGTGGTCATTATGAATGCAGGTCCACACTTCCCCCACACCAGTTCTGAGCTTATGTAATTGTTCCTGCTCTGGTTTGAATGCCACTCAAACACCATCAATAGCAGTGGCTTTGCTTTCACAGATAAATGCATGATGGACGTACATATGTGGAGTTATACAAGTCAATTAGATCCCTGTTGCACAACGCTGCTTGGTATGGACTTTTTCCTCTTTCCGTGTAGATCCTAGATTTGTATTAAAACATGTTTAGGTCAATTGATTCTTTCACCTAAATGCTCTGCTTGTAAGAGGATGGAACCGGAACTGTAATATTATTACACAGAAAACATTTTATTGATCAACACAATATATGTATTTGTATATTGGGCTTGATAGAGGGATAGTGAAAAAGATTAGCGTCAAAGTTACTTTCACGACATTATCGCCTACAATAGTTATTTATTTGGTCAGGACAACACACATTAATGAACAATCATACAAGTTGTACACAAAATGTAAATGTGCCAGATTATAGCAAAACTGCTAATTTACATCCGTAGTCCCGAGGCAGGTTACACAATAATAAAAATACAAAAGACAATATTCAACTATGCAAATTACAGTTAGTTAAAATGAGTGCAGGACTGATTTACTTTAAAATGGTGTTTTAGTTGTTTTTTAAAAGAGCTATATGTTGGGCATCGCCCACTCATACTCTATACTAAAATAAAATCTCTCAACTTTAGCTTAATGAAGAAGCAAGTATACTGTATATTCTAGTGCTAAGAATATACAGTATTCTTAGCAAGAAATATAGAGTTGTGAGTTTACATCTGTACACGTTAGCAGCATGAGATTCTGGGACAAAAAGGCACATGAGATATTGCACATTCTTAAATTATAATAGTTATTGTGCAATACAATTTATTCATCTGTGCAATAGACGCACGACATGTGAGGTCAGGTCAGCCGTGTGTGTTAGTCCTCCTTGTTCATTGTACAGTCTGACAGCAGCAAGAAGGAAAGACCCCTGAAGAAAAAAGTGTTTCCTCAAAACTTTGGACGCGGAGATGATCGAGCCACTGTCAAGACGAACGCAATGAAGCGTTTGTTTATTCTTTGCATTTGGAATCGTCGCGTAACCATCCATCATCAGCATATATCACATTAACTTTGCTTAATGACAGCGTTTCAGAAAGTCGCGAGAGCATGAAAAATGATGGAAGAAGTGTCACCGAAGCCATTTATGTGCTAACGGCCGCAAGAGAAAAAAAAACAACCATCTCACCAAGCCACAAAGAGGAAAAAAGTAATCTCGACTCATCTATATTTAATAGCACGCAGCCCTATGAAGTGTGGCGAAAGACGCTGTTCCAATCCATTTTTCATTCACTTTTACCTTTTATTTCTCCCTGCCTGCCTCATATTGCCCATGCATATTAGAACCAAGCAGGCATCCAGGGAATACGGGGGGAATGAGACTGACATTGTCGCATGGCCCCCACCAAGCTGTTTTTTTTCTTTCTTTTTTGTTCTCCCAGGCTGCAAATGATCCATCTCCCACCCACACATGCGTCCGCCCACCCCTCCGCACTTAGAGGCTCTTGGTACAGCAGTGTTTTTATTTTGTGGAACTCCAGCCAACTCTTCCCCCCCCCCCCCCCCTCCCCCTAACACACTCATGCATGTACCTGCCCACGCCAATATGGTGCAAATCTGATTTAGCCTCTCTTAGCGC